GACAGCCCCGCCACCAGCTCTGGCCTTAGAAAACGCAAAGAGCCGGCATGGCCCCGTGTTGCCAAGCTCCCTTTGCCCAACCCAAGCTCCTGAAATCCCTCCCCAACAGGGCGCTACAAATCCTCTCTTTGGCCCTTGTCCAGCCTGACCCCTTCCCAGGGCACCCCGGCATGAGCAGCGCCAACCCCATACCCATCTCAAGCTGGCAAGCACGCAGCCTCGCTGGCTCCAGTTATTATTTTTTATTTAAAACAATCATTATTTTCACATTTCACCTTTTTTTTGTTTTTGTTTTTGTTTTTTTTCATTTGCTAGCAATATACAGGCTCTTCCAGAGCGTTCCCACCCCTCCAGGTGCCCTGGGCTGTACGAGGCACGAGCTCACTGTGCCCACAGCTGGAGCAGCCCAGGGCCCCGCGGGCAGCCGAGGAAATGCAGAGCGGAGGTGAGGCGGCGAGCGAGGCCAAACTCAGTAAAGCAAATAGAGTTAAGGCAGCGCGCCCAGTGCCAGGGCTGGGAGATAGCAGCCACCCCTGCCCCAGGGCAACACTTTCCCTTTCCAGCCCTGCTGCCATGGGGCACCTGTCTTCGCAGCTACTCACTGGGTATCTCTGAGGCTAAGGCAGCCCTGCTTGTGCCTGGCTCCTGGACCAGCCCTGAACCCGGGGCAGGGAGGCTACTGCTGCTGCTCAGGCTGGCGAGCCAGGCTGTACCAGCATGTCATATTGGGGTTGGGGGGGAGGCGGGGGGAAGCATCTTAATTGCTCAGCCAGGGTACCAGGGTCCTGGGACCACAGTGTGACATGAGGTCAGGCCAGTTCAGGCATCTCTCTGCATTTGGGCATCTCTCTGGCGCTTCACCCTGGGTACCCGCACCCTGCAGGAGCCCCGGGGCAGCATGGCAGGAGCATTGCAGGGCCACCATGCCCCAAAGGGGGCTCTGATGGCCAGACAGAGGGCTGAGCCATGCCACCTCCCAAGGTCACACTGGGAGGCTTGCAGGTGACACTGGCCTTCCTCTCCCTGGTGGTAGACTAACCCAAGGCTGGCTCATCCTCCAGCGCAGACCCAGTCAGGAAGGCACTGTGGGCTGGGCGAGGGGGGTGGGGGGGCAGGCTGCACCCGTAGGTGGGGGACCATCAGCTAGCTGTCCCTATGCACACCAGCCAGGGCACAAGCCAGTTTCCAATATGCCATAAAAAATATATGGTCTGAAAATAGAGCTTATTTCCCCCCCCCCCAAGTTTTCCCCTATTGAAAATACTGTATATTGTATCACAATCTATAGCACGTGGCATAAAGGACTGGCGAGCCCTAGGCCGGGGGGAGACACAGGTACAGCAGAGGTTCCCCCCCAAAGCCCTCCATTCAGCCCCCACCTTTCCAAGTCCCTGGATGAGCAGGGCAAAGAGACCCAGGCATGTGAACGCAGGCAGGAAGCGCTGGGCAGCTGGGTGCCCGCACAGCGCATGAGCACCCGGCGCCCAGCTGCAGCATGATGCTTTTGGCCCTGAGAGGAGCCACCCCTGGGGTCAGCAGGTGCCTGCAGACATTAAACCCGCTCTTGCAGGGCATGGACGATGCTTGAGGCAGAGGGAGGGCTGCGGGCTTGGCAAAGCCACCCCAGGGTGCTGCGAAAGCCCAGGCGCACAGGGTGGGCGGTTGGGGTCAGTGGTGCAAGAAGGACCCCTGAAGTCACAGCCCTTCTTTGGGCACAGCTCCAGGCTGCAGAGGAGGTGGCATGGAGGCTGGAGGTGGCATGCAGGCAGGAGGTGGCATGAGGCCAAGCTGCACTGGCTCAGCACCCCCCCTCCCTGAGCCAGCAGCAGGACCCTCTGCAGAAAGGAGGGGCACTGGCCGCAAGGGTGCTCCTCCTGCCCACTGCCCACCCCGGGTGGCACTGCCAGTCGAGGATGTGCCAGCAGGGGCTGCTGCTGGCTGCACACGAGCATGACCATAGCCACCTTGGTCCGTCCTTCCTTCCCCAACACTGCCTGGGCACTGCTCCCCACTGGCCAGGCTGAGGTTGGGGCCCTCAAGGCTGCCCTGTTCTTTGCCCCCACCTGATGCTATCCAACTCCCAGCTTCAAAACCAATCCTGGGGGGTAGCTCCTCCCTCTCCCAGTGCCGCCAGTAAGCCAATGCGGAAAGCAGTGCAGGTGGCTCCCATACTGGAATGGATGCTGAGGCTCTAAGAGATGAATGCTGAGGCAAGGGAGAAAAAGAAGGGGAGACACCATAAAGGTGGCACGGCAGCTGGGCAGCAGTGCCTGGTGCCCACTGCACAGCCTTGGCAGGGCACTCAGAAGAGGGAGGTGATGGCAGGCAGGAGGGCAGGTGAAGGGCATGGGGAGGAGGGACATGGTTGGGGGCAGAGGGGAGAAACAGCTGGTGCCAGCTTGTGAAATACCCTGTGAAATGCCCCTCTGCCCCACCACGTGCCCCTCTGGGAAGGTGTCGGTGCCCAGCCTCAGGGACAGAGCCATGTGCCCACGGCACCCAGAGTGAGCCTTCCTGCAGCAGGAGAGGGTGCAGGAAAAGGCATGACAAAGAGCCAGGCTGGGGCTGGCGAGTGCTGGTGCTGGGCACTAGCCCAGGGAGGCCCTGGGCAAGGTGCAGAGCCAGGCACCCCACGGAGCCGAGCTGGCCCACAGAGCTGTGTGCTGGGGCGAGCGGGTCCTCGAGGCTGCCCAGCTGGCAGGGTGCAGCAGGGAGCCACGGCCGCGAAGCACCCGCAGGCTCAGGCTGCGTCCAGGGACCCAGACTGCTCTACCTGGCAGAAAAGTGTCCAGGCAGTATGCAGCTGGCAGGGCCAAGACGCCCATCTCTCGCAGGCTCAAGGTCACTGGTGACATCCCATGGGCAGTGCCGGTAACAGAGACCAAACACAGGTAAAGCACAAAGCACAGCTTCTGCCCCTCATGGTGCTGGGACGGCTGGCATGGTGCCCCTGAGCCCGGTACGGTGCCGGGTGAAGTGCCAAGCCATGAAGGGGTGATGGAAACACAGGCAAAGCAGCAGTCCTTCCTCTCTGACCTTCCTGGCAACATCCGGGCAGGCCTGGGGTGGCAGTAGGGCAGAGACGTCCCCACTGCTGGCAGTCCCTCGGGGTGGGTACAAACATGGGTGTCCAAAGGCAACACTCACTGGCCTCTTCCGCACCACAAGACGTGCAGGGCTCGTGGCACCAACTCAAAGCCGCATCCTTCGCTTCACAGTCTCTGTCCGTGGCATGCGCCAGCCGAGCAAATCGGCTGAGGATGGCAGCCCCCTGCGCCATCTGGGGACACTGCCCCATAGCTGAAGGGGACGAAGGCCGGCCCAGCAGGCAGGGGTTCCCAGGGTCCGTCCAGGCTGGCACTGCACCCGCCGTCCGTCCTCCCTGTCACACTCCTCCGGCCATGGGCAGAAGGGCCTGGCCTCCCCCCAGGGCAGGCGGAGACGGCCGCTGGATGCCTCCGTGTGATGGGGGGGCGAAAGAGGGGAGAGGGGAAAAGGGTTCAGTGGCTTCAAAGCCGGGGGACTCGGTTCCCCCCTCGGGTCCTCAGCACAGTGTGTCCGTGTTGAATGAGAGCTGAGCCTGTGGAGAGGGAGACCGGGGAGCGCTCAGGGGCCAGGAACGGGTTTTAAGGCACCCCCTGGCTCTGCCCAGGGGCAGAGGGGCGCAGCAAGTCCTGGGGATGATCCTAGGGCAAGGATCTGGTTGGGATGGTGGAGGGGTTCCCTGCAGCCTCCCTTCCCGGGGAGCATCCTTGTGCCTGCCTCTGTCCTCAAAGGGTCATGGTTTCCCAGGACAAGCCTCTGGGCAGGGGCTGTGTCACCCAGCAGGACACCAGGGCTTGGCTACAATGCCCCATGGCAGGCTGCATCAGCTTGGACTAGGGAAACCCACGTGCTTCCTCCCTGGCCCCGCAAGGCCAGTGCTGCGACGGCCTCTCACCCTCTCCTCCTCGAAGCTGATGAGGCCTTCGTCATCAGTCTCCAGATCCTCCTGCTCCTCCACTACAAGGGCCCGCAGCTCTGTGGGGGCCGCCCGTGGGCGCAGCAGGCTGAGCACTCGCTCCAGGGGTGACTGCAGGGCACAGCTGGGGCTCGTCTCCTGCTGCTCCAGGTTGTCACTTTGCTTCTTGGCAAAATTCACAAACACCTGGCAGGAAAGGGGGTGAGCAGCTACCAGAGATGCCAGGTGGACTCCCGCCCTGGGCTGCCCCTCACCTGGCATCTCTACCCCACAGCCCCAGGGCAATCTCACCTACAGACCATGCACTGGCTCAGATCCCAAGGGAGGCCTCTGCCAGGTACTTTGGCACTGGAGCCTCAGGCATGGCCACCTTCCCTGTAAACGCCCACCCAGCCACCTGCGCTGTCCCAGGCCTCACGTTGTCCAGGGTGGTCTGGCTGACAGAATAGTCTTCAATGCCCAGCACATCCACCACCTGCTCCATCTTGCTGAAGACCTGTGCCAGTGAGATTTGGTCTGATTTGAGCTGGTACTGGGCCTTGGTGTGGTGCCGCTCCTGCAGGGGACAGTGAGGTCAGGTCTGAGCCTCCACATGCCCAAACACCATTTCATTACACCGCAAGAAGAAAGAGGGACACAGAGGTGTCCTAGATGAAGGAATGGCATGAGGCCATTGATCCCCATGGGAGACGAAGGGTGCCGTCACCTCAACACGTGGGCTGGCAGAAGGTGGCACTGTTACTGCAAGGAAGCTCACCTTAAGGATGGCCTCGGGGAAGTTGCGGTTGAAGAACCTCACCACCTCCTTGACGTTGAGGCTGGACTTGGTCCGCACGGTGATCATGTAGCCATCTCCAAACCTAGGCAGAGACAAGTGAGGTCACGGGGTAACCTGCCTCTGCACCCGGGCCTCTATAAGAGGACTGACTCCATGGAAACCTGCACACTGACGACGAGGCTCACCTGGCAGTGACTAAGATGGTACCGGGACGGTCGAGCACTAGCATAGACTGCCCAGATTCCCTTACCCACCCTCAGAAGCAGCACCCATGCAAAAGGCACGTATCTTGTCACGGGAATCATGCTGCTACCCTGCCACGTGGGAACCTGGCACCCTCCTGCACTATGCACTAGCAGATGGGTGCTAGACCCTCACCAGGCTCTTACCTGTTTTTCAAGTGCTGGATGCTGCCAAGACATTTGAGTCGCCCGTTCACCATGATGGCCAGGCGGGTGCAGAGTGCCTCGCACTCCTCCATGCTGGGGAGACAGCACAGGGTTGAGCAGGGTGAGAAGAAGCAACATGGCATGGGCAGATAGGACAATGCCCATCTACCAGAGGATGTGGCACGGGACTTGGCAGGGGGGGAGATGGGGAGCTGAGCTCCTCAGGCCTTCATCCCTGGCACCATGGCATTGCCATCCATGATGGGAGAAAGAAACAGGATTTTCTGGGCTTGTGCCCAGCTCCCTCACTAGCGCCTGCCCCCGTGGGATGAACAGCCCTCCTCCCTCCTGGCCTCTCAACCATGTCACACGCTAGGGTGCCTGGAGGAATTGTGGGCCAAACCTGAAGCCCCTCAGACCTGTGGGACGTGAGCACCACGGAGCGGCCTGTTTTGATGACGTCCAGGATGAGGTTCCAAAGGAAGCGCCGTGCCTTGGGGTCCATCCCTGTCGTGGGCTCATCCTGTAGGAAGGAGAGTACCTCAGCTACACCAGCCACCCCCAGGGGATCCAGCCACATCCCAGGATATGGGATGGAGCAAAGTATGGCTCTGACAGAGCCAACCCCCAATATGGGGTATTTCACAGGATGCCTGCAGAGGCCAGGCCCTCACCAGGAAGATGAAGGATGGGTAGCCTATCAGTGCTATGGCCGTGGACAGCTTCCTCTTGTTGCCTCCGCTGTAGGTGCTGGCAGGTTTGTCGGCATACTTGGTCAGCTCTAGCTTCTTCAGTGCCCATTTGACCACCTGCAGGGTGCAAAGAGCTGCTGTCATGCTGCCCAGGCCCCAGAATGCCTCTGCATGGCCACAGGGCAGGCAGAGAGCTGGCAGCAGGCAGTGGGTGAGTGGTCGGGCCCTGTAGTGCAGGCCAGTAGCCAAGGATGCAAGCGATCCAGCAGCTGGCATGGTCAGGGAATGGCCACAGGTAACGGAGCCCTGATGGCAGCCCCTTGTCCAGCTGCAAGTGTCTATGGGCCCCAGCACCCCATATGGGAGCACCGCTTGGGTGGCACTGCCCTTCAGCAAGCAGCAGGCACCGCTGCAAAGGGCAGACAGCAGCAGCTCAGAGCCCCTTGGTGCCTGGTGAGATGCCATTTCCAGAGCAGCCCATGCCACAGTGCCAGCCCTTGGGATGCTGGCAGACATGCTCTGCCCAAAGTCATACCCGCTCCTCGTCCTTCCAGGGAATACCACGCAGGCGGGTGTAGAGCTCCAGGTGCTCCTGGGCCGTCAGCTCATCAAAAAGTGCATCAAACTGCGGGCAATAGCCCAAGCTTTGTTGGACCTGCAGGAGCTCTTTCAGGATGCTGTGGGGAGAGGACAGAGGTGCCATGGGGAGAAGGAACTGCTGAGCCAGGGTGTTTTCCCTTTTGGGAACACCCCCTTGTTCATCTTCCTTTCACAGGCCTTTATATTGGAACACCTTCTAGCCCTTCAGCCACAATAGGCAGCACTGGCTGAGGCTCAGCATCACTTGCCACCTTGCAGGCGATGGGTCGGTCCAGCAGGACACAGGGTTGCAGAGTCCTGCTGAGCTGTACGGGCAGATTCACAGTGCCTTTTCCCCGGGAGACCCCGAAATGGGTCTCATCCTGGCCCCAGGACAGCGGGCACTCCCCAACCTCCCATCCTGCCTGTACCTGTGTCCATTAACAAACGCCTCTCCACCCGTGGTGCTCTCGTCCCCTGTAAGCATCTTGAAGGTGGTTGTCTTCCCTGCGCCGTTGACACCCAGCAGCCCAAAGCACTCTCCAGGCCGGACGCCCACGCATAGCCGGTCCACAGCCAGGATGCGACCAATCTTGCGGGACTTGTACACCTTGCACAGGGAAAGCACGAGGTGCTTGCCCTGCTGCAAGGGCAACACTGGGCACCAAGCCCAGTGCGCCCCAGCCCCAACCCACATTCCTTGGGTTGGAAAAGCTCTGAGTTTTCTTTTTGTGGCCCCAGAGATTCCTCAGCTCCATTCCTGGGGCCAGCAGATGCCCAGAGAGCCCAGGGCAGGCCAGAGGCTGCCTTACCTTGGTGAGGTTCTCAATCTTCAGCATGTCATTGTCGGCGTCGCCACGCAGGACACGGTGCCGCTCGTTGGCCACATCAATATCATCTTCAATGGGCTTGGTGGAGACGGGCAGTCGCCTGCCGGAGGGTGTGAGGAGTAGGGTGGGGATGCAGAACCAGCAGAGACACCATGGGTGCTGCCTTTCTCTGTCCTTCCCGGGAGGTGAATGCTGGGGATGGGTCGTTTCCCCAGCTCGCACCTCCCAGAAGGGATAACTTGACCCCGACAGGTCCCAAAAGCAAAGCTTTTCCCCACTTTGAAGAGCTGGAAAGTTTGCATCCCAGAAGGATCAGCCCCACTTCACTCTGCCTCGCGCTCCCTCTCCCATACTCACTGAGGTTTCCGGAAGAAGTTATATTGGCACATGATGGTGATGAAGAAGCCAACAAAGCCTTCAATTGTCATGGCAACCAGGCCACGTGTCACAATGTCCCATTCAAAGGGTGACTTCATTTTATCGAACTGCCCTGGGTGGGATGAAGAGGACAGAGGGGGTCGGACTGGCAGTTACTGAGTAAGACATGCAGCTAATGTGGCCTCCTGATGCAGCTGGACCAAGAGGCTCACTGTGACAGCTCCTCTCTGGAGGACGAGGACACCAACCCATCCGCCTGGGCAGGGTGAAACAGGGGATCCTTGTCTCACAGGCTATACAAAATCTAAAAAAGTCCTCCTGAAGGAGCAGGAAATAGTCATAGTGGGAACTGCTGCAGGGACTGCGTTCCCAGGACATGCCAACATGTGGCCTTCCAATAACCCACCCTCCCTTGCCCGCATGCCCCAGCCCTGCAAAGAGACTTTGGGTCTGACTAACTACTGGTCAGCGTCACTGGCCACATGCACAGCTACCTCCGGGTGTGCAGGACAGCTACCAGAGCATCTCAGAGAAAACAATGTTGGCTTTCCCAACCAAGAGGGCTGAGTTTAACCCCATCCACCAAGGTAAAAACACTCAAACTGGGGAGAACTATTCCTCTTGCCAGAGGCTCAGCTGCAAAACAACCAGGCAGGAGCAGCCCTTAGTGCAACACCACTGTCACTACTTCTTGAGCTGGCCCATGATGAGGCAACAGTATCCCCAGCAAGTGAGGCAGGGGCCCGGAGGGCAGATCTGCTCCTGTGTCTGCCTCCTTCACCTCCTGGGCCTGGTGCTGTAGCTGCCTCAGGCTTTTTGGTCCTGCTGGCACTGCAGCTGATCAGAACAAGACTGTTCTTTTACAGCCTGCTTGCTGTTAAAATCGCCTTGCAACTTTTCAACTTCAATTGGGTGAACTAAACCGACTGAGAATGACTATTTGATGGATTTGTCAGATCCAGCACCACGAGATGGGTGACCTCAACTATGTCTTTTCCTGACCCCCAGTCTAGTTCACATCCTCTGGCTTTTTGCTCCAGGTTGTTCTGAGTATTGGGAAGAGCCCATCAGGGCAGGTGGAGGGGATGTGCTGACACAGTGGTCCCTTCCAGGCCCACATGTGCTAAAAGGAAGGAAGGAGGGAGCAAGAGGTCATACCGATCTTGGCATAGTATTCGTTGATGTACTCGTTATAGGCCATCTCCATCAAGCCATGGCCCAGGTTGTAGTTAGGGAATACAAGGAAGCAGCTCTTCAAGTAGCTGTTCACCACCTTCAAATCCTGTGGGGATGGGCAGAGAGGACATGACGTTCAGAAAAACCTGTAAGGACTGAGTGCACGGGAGGAGCAGGATCCTCAACAAGATGTAACTTGGTCTGATTTCATAGCTGGCCTTGCTTTGAGCAGGGTTTTGGAGTAGAGTCCTCCTGAGGTCCTGTCCAACCTGAGTTGTCCTATGATCTGACAGCCATCACCACCCTGGCGGCAGGCAGACACCCTGCTCTGGGTTGGAAAGAACCACAGAAGCAGCATGTTTCCTCCAGCCACTATGCTGGAGCCACAGGCTTTCTCATGGCATGGCAGGCCCAGTGACCTGGCTCCCTGGGCCCTGGCTGGGGCATCCCCCCCTCACCAAGTTGGGGGAGACATCTTTTCCCTTCCTGGTGGCCCCGGCTGGAGCTGTGAGACCCCTACCTTGTCGTGCTCAAAGAGCTGCAGCAGGAACGTGGCAACAGTGGCTGTGATGCCAATGAAGAGGTTGATGACTATCAAGAAGACATAGGCAGAACTGGGCACCTCAAACCAGAAGGAGGCAGGGTACATGATGGGGGTGATGGACCAACTGGGGAGACAAGTGGCAGAAGTTCATGTGAGTGTGGCAGGAGAGGCACTGGGTTAGTCACATGCTCACTACCATGTGGCAGCACCAATCAGTGAGCTTCAGGATTGCCTATCTCCCAGCCCAGTCCTCTCCAGGGTCTCCCACCCCACAGCCCAAAGCTTCCAGCCCACCAGCTGTGGGAGCTGCAGAAAACTGCCAGATGGGCAGCCCCAGGGCCAGATCCTGGCCATTTAGTCACAGAGCAGGTGGGGCATTAGAAGGACCTCACCAGCAGGTCCTGGCCCCCTGCCTTCCTCCCTTACTCACCTCCTCTGAGCAACCTACCCATAGAGCAGAAAGAGTGAGAGGACAGCAGGGAAGTTGGTGGGAGATGTGTACGCTGGGAGGTCGAACACAAAAAGGATAATGATGCAGCACGTGGCTGGCACCAGATAGTTAAGCTGAAAAGGAGAGAAACTTCTGTGATTCTCCGTTTGCTTGCCCTGGCCCTGGGGGACTCAACTGCTGGGCTTGCTTGCCCTGCTCACCATATCCCACACATAGTTGGCCAACCAGTAGATGACAGGGTCGCAGCCGCTCACAAACTGCAGATGTTTGGCCTTGGTGGCCTTTTCAGCAACCAGGAACACCACAAAGCTGGCCGGCACGAAGGACATGGCTACGATGATGAAGATGGCAATCACCACGTCTGTGCCTTGCAGGCTGCATTGGGGAGCAAGGTGGAGGAGAGCACAGATCACATCACTCTCAGCTGCCTGGGAAAAGGCCACAAAGGCCACCTGTCCCAGCTTGGGACAATTGCTGTACACTGGGCAAGGGTACAGCACAGACACCCCCACGTCACACCCGTAACTTTGTGTTTCCCCATGCAAATCACATCGGGGAGCTCCCTCCCCTTCTACATGATGGACACCCTCCCTCAAACCAGCATGTGGGACGTACAGGTAATCCAGAGACAGGCTGGCACTAGTCTTGTTCATGGGGTGGTTGGTCACCGTGATACCTACAGAAAGGCCCAGGAGGAAAACACAGGAGTGTGACAGTTAGCTCAGGATAGAAAATTTTACTCACCGCCTCGGGCCTGCCTTGCTTCTGAGGACAAGCTTCCTTCTCTGCAGCCAGTGCAGAAGCTGAGCTGCTTAAAGCAACTGAGCAGGTCAGGCCAAGTCCTCCCTCTCGTAAGCTGGCAGCAGAGCATTTTTCAAGACCATTTTTCACATGTTTGCAAGACCAGAAGCCAGCAGGTAGCATCTTGGGAGGTACCAACTCAGACCCTGTCTAGCCTAGATCTCAAACCACACACATCTGAGACGGGTGAACCCTGGCTCCAAACGGGCAGTAGCCTGCTTAGGCTGAGGAGCAACATTTCACTTCAGACCCTTGTTAAACCATGCCCTAAAGCTATTCCTGACATGCTTCCACTCTTAAATGCCTGCAGGCCCTCACCGTAAGAAGCGGGGTTGCCTTTGCTCTTGGGCAAGTTGGCCCGCAGGATGGCATTGTTGAGTGCATTGAGGTAGGTGGGCATGCTGTGGTAGCCCTTGTTGTTGTAGAAGACCTAGAGAAGCAGAGAAGAATGCTGGGAAGTGGCAGGAAAGCTGGGCCCCTGGCAGATGTGCTGGATTGGGAGGGTTGAGACAGGATGGAATGGGACAGGACACGACAACATGGGATGGGATGGCGGCGGCCACAGGGCAGAGGGCCACAGGGCACAGTCTTCCTGTGCGCAAGACTGCAGGGAGAGTGGGTCCCTACAGACCATGCTGGGCCCAACAGGCTGATGTGGGAGTACCGCTAAGCACACCGTGGAGTTAGGGCACCACCGCAGATCCCTCAGAGGAGAGGCCTGCCTTAGAGGGGGGGATGAATGGACCCCACCATGCCGCCAGTGCAGCTTTCCCCCTTCTCCTCCCCATCTGTGCCAGGGTCACTGCCACCTATCGATCTCCCCCGCTGCCCTGGGGCCAGGCCAGGCTGCCCCATGGCTCAGCATGGTCCTACCTGGGCTGTTCTCCGGACGGCTATCTTGCGCACCGTGGCAGGAGCCCTGGTGGATGGGGAGGGTTGAGACAGGATGGAAGGGGACAGGACACGACAACAGGGGATGGGAGGGCGGCGGCCACAGGGCAGGCTTCCTGTGCGCAAGACTGCAGGGAGAGTGGGTCCCTACAGACCATGCTGGGCCCAACAGGCTGATGTGGGAGTACCGCTAAGCACACCGTGGAGTTAGGGCACCACCGCAGATCCCTCAGAGGAGAGGCCTGCCTTAGAGGGGGGGATGAATGGACCCCACCATGCCGCCAGTGCAGCTTTCCCCCTTCTCCTCCCCATCTGTGCCAGGGTCACTGCCACCTATCGATCTCCCCCGCTGCCCTGGGGCCAGGCCAGGCTGCCCCATGGCTCAGCATGGTCCTACCTGGGCTGTTCTCCGGACGGCTATCTTGCGCACCGTGGCAGGAGCCCTGGCCCCAAAGGAGGCCGGGATGGATTTCTGGACGTTGCCAAAGGTGAGCGCCCCATACCTGTGGAACAAGGCACCAGTGAGAAGCTGTGAACATTCTCCCCTAGGTCCACAAGCAAAGCAACACTCATCCAGCTCTCCTGGCTCCAGCTGGTCCCCTACTCTGATCTCCACAAGGACCCCGTTCCCCCCAAGCCTGCTGCTCCAAGAGCACAAGGAAGATCTCTCCCACCCTCCCTCTTGCCTGTGCAGCCGGAAGCGGTCCGAGGTGTAGAGCAGGTACTCAGAGACGTTGCGCCCGGTGATGTCCGCCAGGATGTCCCCTGTCACCACCTTCATCTGCGGGGGATGCCCTCCCACGCCGCTGGGGCAGGAGAAGCCAGTCCCCTGCATGGAGCACGTGCACTTGATGGGCTCGTGGATAATTTGGGGCAAGGCTGGGGCTGAGGTGACAGTCTCTGAGGAGCAGAGAAAGGCAGCTCAAAGCACAGCTCTAACCAGAACCACCTCATCAGCCTCCAGTCACAGGGGCTGCTTGGGGCAACACCAGGGCAAGAAGGGATCGAGATGGACATGTCAGGGCAATCTGCAGCACACGCAGTCAAGAGATCCTGGCTGAGCAGGGAGAGATCACTCTGCTCTACAAGGGCTAGCTCCCACTGGGCCAGAGCCTAGTCTTTTGAGAGGTCTTTTGGGTCCCAGTGACAGAGAGGGGCCAAAAAACAGACATGAAGAAAACTCTGGAGCAGACGTGGGATGGAAACAATTCAGATGGAGGCTGTGAACTGAGTCTGGAGAAGGCAAAGCAGCCATTTATCCAGCTAGGGACCGAGCAGTCGGTCCAGTAATGGTGACACAAGGCTGGCCATGAGACATTGGATGGCATGACTAGCCCAGCGAGCTCACCCAGGACTGCTGGAAGCTGATAGCAGAGAGGTGCGCCAAGGGTAACACCAGCCCTAAGCCAGCAGCATAGCTGAGCAATACTCTGCAAGGGCCAGGCCAAACCGTGCCTGAGGGCCACTTTCAGGGGTCCCTGAACTGCTTCCGTGAGGGAGATAAATCACCTCTCCTGGAGATGAACCCAGGGCCTGGACAGACCTGGGCACCAGGCGCAGGCTCTGGTGATACCTTTGATGGCAGAGGAGAAGGTTGTGGAGTTCCAGGCACGGAGCAGGTCCTCATCCACTGAGACAGGATAGTCCGAGGGGGCTGGGGAAGGAGGTGGTGGCACGAAGTTGGAGAGCGGCAGGCCCTGCGTGAAGGAGTCAATGCACATAGCATCGAAGTACTTGGCTGCCAGCATTTTGGACTCGTTGCTGTTGAGGTTCAGGGTCTGCATGGGCTGGTCCAGCGTGTTGTTGAAGGCTGTCTTGAGCACGCATGTGGCGCCCACGCCTGAGGGCAGGTGGAAGGTGTTCACCAGTTGCTGGGGGCTGGCATCAGGAGACAGCCTGATGCTGCAGGGAGAGAAGAGCAGGTGAAGAGGAGCTAGAAGCAAGGGGCATCCCTGAGGAGATATGAGACTTGCCACCTCAGTCCTTTTCTGCTGGGCAAGTCCCTGGGGCCTCTACGGACCACAGCTGTATTAGCCTGGGCACCCTGGCTGTACAGCCCTCAGTGTCCCTGCAGTCTGGACCTGGCACAAGACGAGCTGCCAGGCGCAACCAGCACCAGCGTGAGGGTTGGCACCACTCCCAGGGACTCACCCTGGGGAAGGATGGTGGGTGATTTCTGCATGGGACATGGCACTGGCCATGGCTGAGCTCCAAGCCCAAGCCAGCTTCAGTGCCAGACCAACTGTGGGCTCCCCTCCCTGCTCCCTGCACACCAGTGTGGTCCTGGCAAGGCACTGCAGCAAGGGATGGGGACAGGGACAGGGATAAGCCACAGGATGCTACTCTTCAGGTAGCGGCAGGCTCTCACCGGTACTCATGCCGCTCCTCGTTGGCATAAGGAATGAAGTTGCCCTTGGGTTGCGTGTAGTTGTGGTACTGAGATGGCGAGAGGATGAGGGGAGGCAGGTCTCCTGCAGGGTCAAAGGGAAGAACCTGTTCGCACCAACACCACCACCTCCCTCGCAGAAAGACTGGCCAAACTCCCCACGAGCCTCTGCCTTGACCCCCTCCCATCACCCAGCAGCTTCACCACCATCCAAACTGGAAAAGGCAGAGGAGGCTACCAGGAGCCCACAGCATTTGGGTCTGCAATGCTGGTGAGACTCAGCTCATGCAGGGACAGTCGGAGCAGCAGGGTGGGAAAGATGCCCTTGTTCCTGAGCTGCTGGAACAGCTTCCAAAGATGGAGGATGACAGATGCTTGGCCTGGCTCTGGGGCACAAATCTGGGCACCGGAGAGGGGACAGGGGCAAGCATCCCCTTTTCCTCCTGACCCCTCTGGCACTAGAGTTTGTAGGCACCTATTTCGGGCACAGAGAGTGCCACAGTCATGGCCACACAGACGAAGAAGGCGGGCAGGAGGATCTGCGAGAAGAGGGCCTTGGTGTTGCGCTTGGCACAATGGAAGCGTTTGACGATCAGCCCATGGAACTGCCGCAACTTCAGCCACGACCCCTCCAGCTTAAAGCTCCCCTGTCCTGCCAGGTCATGGTCCTCCGCCTCCACATCAGCTTCTTGATCTGGAGTAAGGAGACAGCAAGGAGGGAAGGAGGACATGAGCAGGCCAATTTGAGAAGCACCTGAGCAGCATAAGGGATTAGCACTGTTAGGAAGTGGGGTGGATGGGTCTCAGGTGTGGGGACACAGCGAGGCAGCAAGCTTGGGGCTGGGACTCCAAGAGCTCAGCTGGGATGCTGCATCCACCCCTGATCTGCCTTCCTGGTGACCCAAATTTGGTAATCCTCAGGGTGATACACAGCTCTGGCAGAGGAAGAATGTCACATCTTTAAATTAATCATGACAAGAGCTGGTAGGATAACCCCAAAAAGGGTTTGTGAATAAAACCGAAGCCTGTGGGCTCTTGTCTGCATGTTGTATCCTTGTATGACTTGAGAGTCTGGCCAAGGATACAGTCCTGAACTTGTGCCAAGAGTTTGGAGTGCAAACCTGCTCTCTGGAAAATGGCTCTCTGCTGAACAGGCAGGCTGGCCAGCCAAGAGAAAAGACCCAGCCACACAGCAAAGGTGTTAGCACACCCACCACAGCAGAACCACACCGGCAGGCGGCTCTCCACGCTTGGCTGCTAGTCCAAGGAGGAAGCATGTTAGTGGCAGTAAGTCTGCTGAAGGTTGGAGCTTGCAGGAGGATTTGAGAGAGACAAAGGGAACTAAGAGAAGAGATCAAGGACTAACGCTGGCTGTGTCCTCACACCAGCCACTGAGTGCACTAGGTTTGTGTCTCAACATGGGACCTCCTCATGTACCTGCTCCCACTTTGGGGAGCTGCAAATGTTGGCTGGAAGTACCCAGTTGCAGACAAAATCCCACCCAAGTCCCCTGCAGTCAGCAGTCTCCCACAGGTCGCTATTCCCCAGGGCTGCATAGCCACAGGGTTCCCTTTCTCTCTCTCTGCACAGGGTCCTGGACACATCAGCTCAGCCCCGCATGGGAACTCGCCTGAGCAGGCACAGCCCCGATCCCCAGCACAGAGGGGAATCGGATCCCTGAAGAGAGCACGTGACCTCTGGAGCATCTCACTCGGGCGAGCAGGCCCCACACCTCCCGCTAGCAAAGTGAAGAGCTGCCATGCGGTATTACAAACCTTGCAGACTGATGTTATCAGGGTCCTGCCGATTATCAAACAACGGAGAGTAATCTCCAAAGAACTCCGAATAAGCCCCACCTTCATCGCCCCGCACAGAGCCCACCGAGGAGGCTGAGCGCAGGGATGCCTGCGACTGGGCAAGCTTGGAGCAGGTCACCAGGTTGCTTAGCTCCACCTCTGGCTTCTCGGGCACTTCTGCTTCCGCAAGGGGCTCCCCATTGGCCTCGGGCTTTGGGCCCAACTCGGGGGTGGGTGGCCGCAGGGCATCCTTCTTGGACTCTTTCATGTCTGGAAGGAGAAAGAGGGTTGCCACTTAGCAATGGCCACACCAGCCTTTGAGGTGATGTTGCAGCAGAGAAGGGCCCCAAGTCTGTTTTGCAAACCCAGACTGCAGCAGGCATCTGGTTGCCCTTGGCTGGCAAGAGGCAGCCTCTCCTGCTGCGCCATTTGGAGAGGAGGGTACTCCTGCTGCCATGCAAGAGGGGAGAGGAGACACAAAGTGCACATCAAGTATGACACACAGCACTTTTCCCTCTCTTCCCCATGTCCCAGAGCTGATGGCACTGCCATGTGCTCCTCAGGGTCCATACCAACATCGCTGTTTTCCAGAGACTGGTCCTCCTCGGACACCTTGAGGAAGACCTCCTCGAGTGTGGTGTCCATCAGCCCAAAACTGGTCAGGGCCAGATCCTCCAGGCTCTGCTCCAAGTGCTGTAGAGGGAAAGTGCCACATGAGGAAGGCTGGAAGCTCATCTCTCCCACATGGCCTCCCACAACCCTGCCGTGGCACAGGGGATCCCTCAGGCACCCATTCACACCATGAGCACCCAGTGCCAGGCAGAATCTTCTCCTGGAGCCAGCTGCTGTGGGCACATGTGGGTGAAGCTCTTGGATGGGGCTGGAACAGGCCCAGCACCATGTCCTGCCCCTCCAGAGCCCACCCTGCACAGGCCCACCTGCGCTTTTTACCCAAAAGCCTCGTGGTAGTACCATACCCATCTGTGCCCATCCTGCCCCTCAAGGATGACCCTCATCCTCACACTGCCAGCAGGGTTGTCACTGGGGCCTCCTGCAGATTGGGTACCTGGAAGAGCCTCTCGAAGCAGCCCTTCTTGACAGCCTCGCTGGGCAGGATGTAGGAGAGCTCAGTGTTGGTGTCTGAGATGAGGAGGCAGGAGGCCACGTACTTCTTGATGAACTGGGAGACACGGGGCTCAGAGCAGGGGCTGACGGAGGAGTGGGACGGGGGACTGTGCGGCTGGCCCGACTCTATAGCAGGGAGGCAGCACCAATCACTCCACACGTTGTTTGACCAGGACCACCCCAATGCCAAAGCTGCAGCCCAGCGCCTCAGGATTTCATTCATCCTCTGTTGCAGTGTCCTGGCGACTTCCCAGCTTCCCTGCCACAGACCTGGCTGTCCATGCCTGTGCTGCCCAGCCCTGGGGAGAGGCCCTCTGCCCTCCAGCCTCACAGGGCACCACTGCCTGCAGCTCAACATCTCAGCAATCAGCACAGGGGCTAGACCAGAATCAGCACCCTGGAGGCAAATGCTTCCATGCACAATCTAACTGGAGACCCAGAAGGGAGAAATCAAGCCTGAGAGGTATCCCCTCCTACATCCCTGACCCTGTCCACCTCAGCCCTCCACATGGCTTATGGAAACCTGGCAGTGGGAGCATTTGGATTTTGACCTCTTGTCCCTTTTCTGGACAAAAAAAGAGCTGGGCCCATCTACTCTGCCACCTAAACACCGGGGTCATGATGGGTCCACAGACCTGTGCTGTTTCTGGCGTCTGACTGCCTCTTGACCACCGTCAGCTTGTAACCATCACCATAGGTGCTCTTGAGGAACAGTGGGGAGCCGCAGCACTTGAGCTTGCCGTGGGATATGATGGCAATGCGGTCGCCCAGCAAGTCAGCTTCGTCCATGTGGTGTGTGGAGAGCAGGATGGTCCTCCCTGCCCAGCAGAAACAGAGTGTCAGTGAGGCAGAAGGGCATGGCCATGCTAGGGCCACAGCAGCCTGTACCTGCCCTACCAGGTGCCGCTCGAACAAGGTAAACTGTTTCCGGGCCCTGGGGGAAGGGATTGCATGCATAGAGGGCAATGCCCTCCAAGTATCATCAGCTCACCCCAGAGACCCACTGTGCCAAGCACAGGGAAGTCTGACTGCCGTGGGGAAACAGGCATGGTCAGAAAACGTGCCACAATTTGGGCAGCAAGCCAGGAGCAAAGAACAACAGGGAACCTAGCAGTCTTGCAGCTCACCTGGTCTCTCTCAAGAGGTACAGTGAGGGGTTTTATTTCCATTTCAGGAGAGGCCCTACATCCAATTTCAGTTCTCTCCATGCTGTGGCTGGCCATTCTTCAGCTCTGGCAGCCAAGGTGGGGGACCCTGACCTGATACAAGGAGGGAAAAGCTGTGCAGGGCTTTGCCTGCCTCTGTTCACCTGGCTTGTATTTGAGGATGAGGTCCCAGATGGCCCTGCGCGCATACGGATCGACACCAGCTGTGGGCTCGTCCAAAATTACGGCTCGCGATCCACCCACGAAGGCTATAGCCACTGACAACTTCCTCTTCATGCCACCTGAGAGGGTTTGCACCAAGGAATGGCGTTTGTTGGAGAGCTCCAGGTCTTCAATCATCCTAGGGACAGGGAGAGAGATGCACTATGGCCTGCCGAGGCCTGCCTGCACCCATGCCTACTCCAGCCACAGAGCCCTGGTGCCTGCCAGCAGCACTTCACACCTCTACCCCGTGTGCGTGGCTTAGGCTCTCGGCAGATGGGGACAGACTAGCTACATACAGGCTATAGAGGGATCTTACGCTGCTTTTAACAGCCCAATATCCCAAGGTTCAGAAAACACTTGTGGAGCTGCTCTTGGAGACATCTCAGCTCCTAGGTCACCTACCACAGCACAGCCAGTGGGAAGGGGACCTGTTCACATCAGTGGAAAGGAAGGAGCAAGGGGAGCTACAGCTCTGCTGGGGCAAGATTGCCTACTTGTCCATCTCCTTGCGGATCTCCTCCTCTGCCATGCTCTTGAGCTGCGAGTAGAACCAGAGGTGCTCCTCCACCGTCAGCCTGTCAAAGAGCACGTTGTGCTGGGGACACATGCCCAGGTTCTTCCGGATCTCATCCATCTCTGTCCGGATATCGTGGCCATAGATGGTAGCAGAGCCCGATGTTGGAGGGAACAAGCCAGTCAGGATGGACCTGGTGGAGAAATGCAACAGTGTGAGGGACCTCATGCACCGCTATCCAACCCTGATCCCAATCACCAGCTCCTAGGCTATCTGCTAGGCAGAGTCCATGGCCAACGACCTGCATAGAATAATGTGAGAGCGGGGCCATGTGCCCACTGCCTGCTCCTCTTACGTGCCACCCCCACATCCACACTGCTTCCCTCTGGCCATGGTTCCGGCAGAGCTGCAGGGCCCAGCGAGGACAGCCTTGCAGTACCTTTCCGACCCACCCCAGCTGGCTAGAAGGACACAGTCCACGTCTACCCCGACAAACACTCACATGGTGGTGGTTTTGCCCGCGCCATTGTGTCCCAGGAAAGACACCACCTGGTTCTCATAGAGGTTGAGGCTCAGCTTGTTCAGTGCCAGTTTCTTGTCCGTCTTGTAGACCTTGGTGAGCTTGTCAATGCAGACAACCAAGGGCAGGTGGGACGGCTCCTCCTCAATGCCCCGCGTCTCCTCTGCTACGAGAGCAGGATGGTGAGGAACTGAGGGGTGGGTAGGGGAATCTGACTCAGAGCAGGACTTCCCAGGGAATGAACCATCCCCACTCCCTGCTCTACTCATGCCCGTGCCAGGTGGCCATCCTGGCTCCTGGCTTCTCTTCCCCTCTGGTTCTCGGCAGCTTCCCTCCCCCAGAATGGTAGGGAACAGCTCCCTGACAGGCAGCAGCACTTGGCCTCACACCCAGGACCATTCCCTGACAAACACCCTTTCCTTCAGGATAATGGTAATAGGGGAACGCAGAGGGGTCTGTGGCCACAGCAGGATGCTGTGGCAGAGCTAGGGGCATACCCTGGCACCCAACAGCCAACCCTGGGCTTCCCTTCCACTGTCCTCTGACTGCTCTCACCCAGTCTCCTGCTCTCCATGGCACAGGCCTGGTCCTCCTCCATGATGCTGAGGCGGGTGGTACGGGACCAGGGCCAGGTCCACTCCCATGTCTCCACTCGCCCGTTCCCCAACCAGTAGGACTTCTGGAAGGGGAAGTACCAGGGCCGCGGCAGGCCATACATACCTGCAAGTACAACCACTCCAGAGTCAGCGCAGGGCCTCCCTGGGCTCATCCCCATCACCCATGTCCTCAGAGAAGCCTGCCAAGGGCTGAGGTAGAGCTGACCACTGGTACTGAGGAGATTTCCTTGGCATGGGAACACTACCGTGAGGTGGGAGTCTGCAAATGCACTGGCCAACTGGGCTCAGGGAAACACTGTGGAGCTGTTCAAGGAACCAGAGCAAAACTGGGCCTGGCCCACATTTCAGTTTTACTTTAAAAGTGAATGAAGCAGGTAAAACTCCAAACTGGCAAACAAAGAAAATAACTCTCAAGCCCCCGATGCCTTGTTTTGCTAGTCAGCCAGAAAACTGAGATAAGTGATTCAAGTAAGCTCCAGAGATCCCGCCAAGGGAGAGGGGTGTCACCAGTGGGTGAGGGCATGAGGGCAGCAGTCCCCAACAGGACACATGCTGGGGAGCCAGGAGGCAGGCTGTGACAAATCCCCCCATATCAGTGCAAAGCATGGCCAGGAACCAGCAGCATCCGCAGCAGGGAGGCTCTCATGAGGTCTGGGGTGCCCATGTGCCTAACCTGCCCCACTGCCTGTATGTACCTGGGTGCACGGCCTCGATGTACCACGTGAGCACCCCATACACCACAGCATCTACACTCAGCATCATCATGGACAGCAAGAGGTTGAAGTCGTCTCCTTCCACGGGCGACTGGCTGAAGGTGTGCCACTGGATGCCCACGCCAGCCACCTCGTACAGGGCAAAGTACTTGGAGCCCAGCCCGAAAGCCGTGGTCGACATGAGGGACTGCGAAGGGGTGGAGGGTAAGAGGGGTATCAGCAGGACCCATGGGCCAAGCTCAGGAGGAACAGCTTGGGGCTAATTCCTACCCAGCTCTGCCCATCCAGGCCCATGGAGATGCTCCAAACCGTCTGGAGATGCGTTCAAAGCCCCATGCGGCAGCATGACTTGCATGGGCACTGCACAGGTTTGCCCAGGGCTAGGTGGCCACCATAGCCCGTGTCATGAGTTGCCCAGGGCAAATCCTGGCCCAGGCACCCTCCCCTAACAGCCACAAATCAACTCACCGCAATGCACTTCTCAAAGGCTGTGATTTTGTCGTGCGCCACCTCCTCCCGGATGGCAACATACATGTAGGGCACGTAGCTCAGGAAATAGATGATGCCACCACAGGCTGAGGCCAGCTTGGCCTTGGAGTAGAGCACCGACACTAGGAAACTGCAGGGAAGACAGCATTACCTGCCAGTCCCACAGTGAGACATGGGTGAACCCTACCAACCAGAGAGGGGCTATGCCCCCCACTTGAGTACTCCCCTCTCCTGCACCTCAGCACCATCCTCCCGCTGTAGAAGGGGGTGTCAGAGCTGTCCTCCTTCAAGGACAGAGGGGTCCTCCAGCACCCAATCCTGGATCCTGCCATACCAGGGCTGTGAAGTCTCCAGAGCAGGCATGGCCAGCTGCTTTCCCCACACAGTCTGATTTCACTGGGGTCAGGGTAACAAATTTTCCCTCAAATCACCTGGCTGGGGGAAACTCGTGCCCCTCCAGTGGCCCCTGTCCACACAGCTCCCAGCACCCTTGCCCCATGGCACAAGGACCCCATAAAGGGCTGGTGCTACTTGGTGCCCCCTAATCACACAGAGTGAATCAAGTAGCTCACCAGAACATGATGGTGGCCACCGCGTAGATGGCGAGGAAGAGCCAGATAATGAGGACATCGCTGTGCATCAGGACCTTGCCGTATTTTAGGATGGCGGTGAGAGCTGTGACTGAGATGGAGAGCTGGACGAAGCCAGTGATGAACCAAGCCACCCAATGCACTGCGTTGTTCAAGCCCATCATCTTCATCACCTGCAAGGCCAGCACCTCTCAGCAGGGCCATCCCCTGTGCATCCCTCTTGCCTCATTCACTGAGACTGGGAGAGCGAATGACAGCACAGAGAAGTCCCTTGCGGGCTGCTGGAAGCGGGCAGGCCACAGAACCATCTGCCAGGGTGCAGACAGTACAGGCTTCCTCCTGTGCTGAGCAAGGTTTGTGCTGATGACACTCAGAATGAGTGTCCCGGCCCACGGACAAGCTGCAGTAGAGCCCTGGCATGTGGGATTTGCACCCATCCCAGCCCAGTGCCCCCATGAATGCGGCCCATTTCCCAGGAAAATGAGGCAGAGCCTGGAGGTGATGAGGCTCCAGGCTCAGCTGTGGAGTTCAGTGCCTTGCTCTCCATTGCAGGCTGCCCTGACCGCTGGCAGCCATTCCCCAAGACGGCTGGCCAGCTTGGCCTGGCACTGTGCCTAGCAGCTCCACCACGTTCTCGTCTGCTGCAGGAGCCTTCCTCTCTTGCCAGTGAGGGACCCCAGGCCACTGCTGTCTAGGAACAGCTACTGGGTGACAGAGAGGACCAGGAGGCTCGGCAGGTGGGACTGGTCCTCGCTCCTGACCGCCCCCAGACAGCAGGGCAGGGGAGATTCCGGGTTCTCCCAAGGCATCTCCCAGCTTCCCCACCTCTTTCAGGCGATGCTCCTTCTCCGTCACAATGTGCTGGATCATCATGGCCACTGAGTAGACCCAGGAGATCACCATGCACAGGGGCATCATGTGCTCGATGACAAAGAGGAAGCTGGTAGGGCATGGGAAGAGAAGGGAGAGCTGGATGGCAGCATCACCACAGGGAAAGGGGGAGGGCCCGGGGGGGACAAGCCCCAGGGCAGCTGAGGGGCTCTTCCACCACCTGGGAAGGTGCAGCAGTTCGTTAGTGTCCTGAAAGAGCTACCGATCCTGCCATCGTTTTATAACTGGGGAAACTGAGGTACAGGGAGGGGGAAGTACTTTTCAGAGCTCCTCTAACAAGCCCACAGCAAAAGCCAGAGCAAAAGCCAGGTGTCCTGGCTGGCAGGTCCCCAGCAGGCAGGCCAGCAGCATCCGTGTGGGCTCAGCCCGATGTCCTGCCTACCCTGATGTGGACAGGCCCTTTCTGTCCTCCCGCCCTGGAGGGTTGGTGAGTTGGGGACTTCTCATGCCAGATGCTTCATCCAGACCGCCATGTTTAACAACCACCAACAGACCCATCTACCATGAATTTACAAAGCACCTATTGCTCTCCCTGAGTCTTTCAGCCTCCAAGACTCTTGCAGCAGTGAGTTCCTCACTTGAATTATGAATTGGGAAAAAAAAACTTCCCCTTGCTTGCTCTGAGGGCTCTCCTTAGACTGGTGGTCCAAGGAACAGAGATAACTAGTTGCTCCTCACTCCCAATGTCACCAACTTCTCTCAGGTCCTCCTCATTTGTCCCTTTTTCCCAGCTGAAGAGTCCTGGCCTATTTGGACTGCCCCAAAGGGAAAATGGAAGTTCCATCCCCTGCCCACCCTGTGGCACATGGGGCTACTCACTCGTCCCGGGTATAACATGGATATGGGAACATCTGCACATAATTGCCAGGCTCCACCACATCGTGGCCAACAAACGTGTTGATGAGGGCACGCTCCATCATATCTGGGGAGAAGGAGAGGTCAAGGTGAGCCAAGTGGCACGGGCAGGGGATGGAGGGCAGCCCTAGCGAGAAGCTGGCACTCACCCTGGATCCAGACAAAGCCGTAGAGGAAGTAGAAGCGCCCACCGGTGTTGGGGCCAGGCCGCCAGTATGCCCGCCGGATCTCGTTGGTTTTCTCAGTGAAGCTGGAGTTCTGCCGGATCTTGTACATGACGTGAGGGGGCAGTGAGCCATCCTTGTTGGTCTGGAAGATGACACCTGCGGGCATGGGGGGAGGCAGGGAGGGCGCTGGCACCACAGGAGCCCAGTGACACCAGCCAATGCACTGCAACAGGCAGGTACACGAGAGCTCTGCTGGGACCCTAGGATCAATGCGTCCTCAGTGGGCCAAGCCAAGAAGCTAGCCCATGGCTACCATGACAGAGGAAGGCTTGCATGGCCCTCACACAGGATCCAGCCCAGGGCAGGCAGGTGACAGCGATCCATGATGGGTGAGCTAGGACAGTATCAGGGCTCTGGGTCTGGCAGGCCCAGGGTTGAGGGACAACAGGAGGGAGGTCAGGAGGGAGAGGATGGGTACTGCAAGAGGGAGTTGGCACAAAGCCGATTCACTCAAAACATGCACCAAAGCAGTCAACATCCCAGAGCTGGCTCCAGGTCTGGGGCATGGCTGGCAAAGGACTCTCATGAAGGGACTGGTTCCCAAGAACATACTGGCAAAGACGGTGACATTGTCCTGGTAGGCCTGATTCAGAGTGTAGTTAACGATGCTCTCCTCATCCGGGAAGCCTTTGAAGATGTCCACACTGACCTGGCAGGAGGCGAAGGCTGGTGAGATCCCACTGCCCCTCAAAGGTCCAGGACGTAGACCCTGCACACACTGCGGAGCACGCCACCCACAGTGACCCTGCAAGCCCCCGCTCTGCAGCCATCACCTGGGCCAGCCCAACCCACAAGGCCCAGCTAGTGGGACAGAAAGCTCTTGGATACTCATAAGCCCATAGAGATGGGCACCTCTGCCTCTAACATCTCCCCAAAAGCTCCTGCGTTGGAGAAGCCAGCATCTTCTCCAGGTGTCCCAACATTGTTTCTCCCTGTGACAGGGAAGATGCTGTGACCTGAACCTGTGGCCTGAAGGAAGTCAGAGCAGACGTGACTGCCTCTTTGGCCCTGTGGCCCTGTGGCCGCTCTGGGCGGTGAGTCTTGCTCTGGCCTCCGCAAGCCCATGGGCGGGCACAGCCTCACCTTAGCCATGAAGTGGACCCAGCCACAGGCAGCGTTGTCAATGGTGTCCAGCTGCTGGAGCAGGACGCTGGCGTTGGGCAGGGAGAAGTTGCCATTGAGGAAGCTGTGGAGAAGGTCGCTGTCGGAGACATTCAGGATCTCTGGATGCTTATGGAGGTCGGCTGTGAACTGGGACAGGGAGGCAGATATGGCAGAGGGAAGTTAGGGTACCCCCTGCCTCTCAGTGCTGCCCTCCTTGGGGACACAAACAGGACCAACCCCCTCCCAGCACTCCTCCTGGGGATAAGGGGGACAGTGTCCACCCAGCACAAGGAACTCAGCCTAGTGTTCGCAAGAGCAGGGTAGGCACTCAGGGACAACCTGAGCACCTTCATGTGAAGCATCTGTTCCTGTATCCTCCCTCCCCACGTTGGCACAGAGGCTAAGAGGGGTAAGTGGGGGGGCAGCAGATCCCCTTCTTGCCCCCGGGGCAGTAAGGTCCAGTCAGGCTCGGGCCTTGCAGCACTATCCTACCTGCTGGAGCCAGCGGATGCGTCTCTGCAGCCTGCCCTCCTCCAGGTAGGCCCTGATCTCCGGGGAGATGTTCATCCACAGCTTGGCATAGTGGGTGACGTTGCCCACGAAGGCGAAGGTCTCGTTGGCCTGGGGGGAGGAAGGTCACGCAGCGGAAAGGGGCAAGGGCACCTGGCTCTCCACAAAGGTGCTGCATTCCATCACTAGCAGCCTTGGACACATCTGCCCACCTCCCTGCTGGCATTGCCATCCCAAGCACTCCAGAGTGGCTACAAATTTCCAACGGCACTGGCTGGCAGCTAGCCCAGCCCTGGCCTCACACGGTACACTGCCCCTGCTGAGCTTGTCTGGGCAAGCACGTCCCTCTTGGAGCAGGGCTAGTGGGACAGGAAGGATGCGGGTCCTGGCCTCTCTGCACCATCATGAACCTAAGCCCTCACCTTCAGGATGACCTTGTCTACTTCAGTGCCCACAGGAGCGTAGAGGATTTTGGGGTTGCTCGTCATAAGATGTACGAGGAGGCCCAGGTTTCGCTGCTCCTTGCTGGTGAAGCCCAGAGAGCTCATGTTGCCCTGCTTCAGCGCCTCAGGCTCGATTGTCCTGCAGACACAGGTCAGTCCTGGGTTTGGGAGCAGCAGAGGTTTTGGGAGCAGAGGGTACTGCCCAGCATGCCCCCAATGCCTCAGCGCTGGGGAAGTGCAAGCCTCCCCACCATGGAAGCCAAGGGAGGAAGAGGAGGTGCTACAGCAGCACCACGCCAGGCCTGGCACCAGGTAAGCCACCCTGCCAGTGTGCTCCTCCTGCATGTCCCCTGGCAGTGCCCACCCTAGGGTGTAAAACCCACCCCAGCCCTCCCGCTCCCAACCCAGACTCCTTGTCTTCTCTGGCTGCTGCCCAGGTGGAGGATTTCACAGTGACTCCCAAACCAGTGAGATGCCATAGTGCTGCTGCCTGGCATGGAAATCTTCCCTTGGCCATGGCCACATGTGCAGTCAGTGTGGCACCAATCCCACCCAAGGCCTCAGCAAGGGATGGTCTGGGCCCCCTTTATCACTGGCAAAGGCAGGGCAGGTTCCTCTGCACCCCCCTGCACCTCATCAGGATGGGAGCACCTAAGTGCCAAGCCACAGACCATCACATCACTCGCGCACCCAGGCTCTGCATCCAGCTCGTCCAAGGGCTCCTACCGGTTGTTCCCGCACAGGATGGGCTGCAGCCCGGCCCACAGCTGCACAAAGGCTGAGAACTGCCCCTGTGGGTTTTCACCACCTGGCATGCCCTCCCTGTTGCCCTCCTCCTCTGCTGTGGTGTTGTTGCCCGCCGTGGCGTTGCCACTGGCCCAGCCGGTGCTGTTGGCGGTGGGGGGGGGGGCCTTGCTGGCACAAGCTCCTTTGGGTAGCAGCTTGGCCAAAGCTGAGAGAATATCCATATCGCGGAGAACCTTCTCCATCTCCATGAGATCCTCAAGGAGGGCATGGAGCCGGTGCTGGGTGGCTGTGCTGTTCACCTCATCCAGCTTTAGCTGCAAAGTCAAACAGGTAAAGAGTTACCCCTGGCCAGGAAACTAGAGCAAAGGGGCATCCTGATCACCTGTTACTAGAGAATGGGATTCAAAGGGGACCCCTAAGGATGGCATCTCCCCTTTCCCTGGCAAAGGGCTAGAGCCATGCCCAGCTGGGCCCCAGGACTTGTCTCTTTGCATCCTTAGCAATTGGGCAGCAGGAGGCAAACCCTGCAGAGTCTTGCTGGAAGATGAGATGCATCCTGCAGGCAGGAAGCACAGTGTTCCCTATTAGTCACAGAAAGGAACATATTAGATGAGGATGAGATGAAAAAGGAGACTCCAGACAGAGCCTTAAGAAGTCGTGCCACTGAGGGCCTCACCAGCCCTGGGGAGAGGAGCCCTGCTGGACCCTGTAGGGGACCCACTGGGAGGACACAGGGTGTTAGGGAGCACCCAGTGCTCTGCCCCTTGCCACATCCAACAGGCAGTGTGACTGGGTGCCAGGAGAGGGACACTATCTGTGGTCCCACCGGAGCGGAGAGGCAGGAGAGGACCAACCCCAGGGGCGTGTGGTGCTGGGCAGGGGGGAGATGCCCTGTGAAAGGGTAGGGGGTGACCAAGAGGGGACAGGCCATGTCCTGAAGCGTGGCATAGAAATCTGGGCAGGGAAAGGAGTCCTGCGGTCCAAGACCTTGGCCCCACTCAGCTCTCAGCAGCTAGGGAAAACCTTCTCAAGATACATCCCTGTCCCTCACTCACCCTGCTGACGATTTTGCGGGCGTCCAGCTGGTTCTTGAGCTCGGTGGCCAGCTGGGCAAAGCGCTCCTCACGGGCCGCCTGGCTCCCATTGCACACCAGCGCCCGGTAAGCTTGCAGCAGTGCTTGCTGGCTTGGAGCCACGTGGAGGAGGCGCCGCAGCCCCCCTTGGCTCTGGTCGCACGTGAGGTGCTCCAGCACTGGTGCCGTGAAGACGACATTCTGCAGAGGAGGGAGCCAGCAGCTTTATCACCCCCTGTACAAAGAGCCCCTGGACGGGCTGGGACACTGCAGCAATGCCCAAAGCCCTAGCGATTTCTCCTGCTCTGTTCTCATGTGCCCCCATTTCCGCACAGGGGACGGAGGGCAGAGAGGAGGTCTGTCCCAACCCTGGGCACTTGGTGAAGAACTGGCCATGTGCCATAACCAGCCTGGAAGAGAGCCCAACCAGAGCCCAGTAACTCCCTGGAGGAGTCTGCTCCCAGCACAGGCTCCAGGATATCTACCTGCGGAGTCTGTCTTCCCCTGGCTGCTCACCTCCATCTCCGAGACGAAGGCCTGGGGGCTGTAGGAGTCGGTGGGCCCTGGGGCGGCGCTGGCAAGGCCCAGAGCTTGTGAGAGCAGGTGGAGCAGGGTCTGCCTGCGTGAGGCTCTGGAGGGATCACGCAGGGCCTTGTGTATCAGCCCTTCTCGCAGGGTCCTCCAGCCGCTGGGGAGGCTCTTCTGCAAGAGGCACCTATGGCAGTGGCTGTCCCCTGGGCCCCCTTCCCTCCCTTGGTCTCCCCAAGTACATATGTTGCACCCACATCCACAGTCTCCATGGAGGGTGCAGGAAAAGAGGACATGCGGATTTCCAGGAGCGCAGCTCTTGGCTCTCCACAGCCCAGGTCACAGGAGCTGACAATTTCTGCCCCACCCTCCAACGTCCTGGCAACGTCCTATCAACCATGTTGCTGTGGGAAACTGAAGCACAGAGACTGGCCTTCCTCAAAGTGCAGTGGCAGTGCCAGGATGGGACCAAGGCATCCCTGGTTAGTGCCCCAGCCACGTGGTAATGTCCCATCATACCCCTTCTGCCTCAAAAGACAACCTCAGTGTGGGGCAGGACTGGGGCAAGCCAGGCAGGCAGGTGCAGAGGGGAAGGGAAGGACAAGCTACACCTCGCTACATCCTCCACCTGGGGCACCAAAACACCTCTCACCTCCAGCTTCAAGATCTTCTCACTGGGGCCAAACCGATCCCACAGATCTCTCTCATGGGTGTCGTCGGGTACCGAAGGAGAAGATCCAAAATAGAGGTGGTACACCTGCAACAGGGACGTAATCATGGTGGGTGAGCATGCCATGGAAGAGCATGCTGAGAGTGGAGAGAACTGGATACCCTGGCATGCGGGGCAAGGGGCAAGAGGGACTGCAGGGCAGGATGTGTCCCTGTTGGGTGCCCACTGGCTCCCCACCATGACTGCACTGTGATCAGGGCTAGGACTGGGCCAGGAAATGCGCATCTACTGTTGTAGCTCAGCGTTCCTGGAAAAACTCATCCCTCCATCCCTGCACTGCTGTGCAGGGCCTGTCCCGTTCTGCTCACCTACCTCCCGGAGGTCAATGCTGGAGCCCAGGAGGAGCTCAGCTGTGGCGTTGGGGAGGGATAGATTCTGCGTGAGGAAACGGTGCAATTCGCCCCGGTCCTTGGCTGCCCATGCCAAGGTGAAGCCAGATCCTGGCAAGGAGCAAAACAGGCAGCACAAGGTCAGAGCAGCTACATACGGCAGGGATACAGGGCATGGCCTCGTGCAGGGGCTGGTCCTGCCCTTGCATGAAGGGCCCGCAGGGATGAAAGAAAGTGATGGGGCCTTGCCACACACTGCCACATCGCTCGGTGCCTTGCATGGGAGCAGACAGGACACCCTCATCCTGCTTGCTGCCACTCTGAGCCTGCATCCCCCTACCCCTGCCTGCACAGGAGCATGTGGGCTGGCAGGGCACAGTGCTTACCTGCCTGGCTGCTGAAGTGGGTCTCCATGGAGCTAGGCTCGCTGCTGCTGAGGGCCTCCAGGCGCCGGCGCAGGGACTCCAGCTCCTCTTCTAGGCCTGGGTGGTCCGGGTCAAACAAGTTACTTTGCTCCACCACTTCACTGAGGTGCTCGAGGAGCTGTGTTACCCTGAAGAGAGCAGAGCACCCCAATAACGTCAGCAACAGGGGCTGTGGCCATACTGCTGGGTTGGTGTGTGTGCTCCTCCACAGAGCCAGGGCATGGCCCTGGGGTGGGCCCAAGACCCCTGGGGTGCACATGTGGGGAGCTGCGCTGCCTGGGACAACAAGGGCATTGCCCAGCTGCATGGTCCCCACACTGCTGCCCCCAGGAGCTTCCCTTGCCTTCATACTAAGTTGAAACATGTGCCAGGGATGTGAAGAAGAACACCAACACCTCAAAGAGTCCCTGAGGGGCCATCTCCTTCCCTCCTCCCAGCAGACCACCAGGCATCTGAGACCCTGCAAGCCCAGAGGGAACAGGCTCAAATGTCCTCTGCCCCTTGGGGACCCAGGAGACTGCATCCAAATGCTTTGAAGGATACAGGTTGTGCATCTTTTCAGATGGGACACTGCCAGTATGAGAAGATGCATGCACACACGTGCCTGTGCTGTGTGGGATGAACAGGGAGCTGGAGAAAAGGAGAGCAGGGAAGGGCCCAACTCACGTGGAATTGGAGTACTGCAGGAAGCCAAATTCATCCCGCTGGCCATCCGGACACAGAGACTGCATCACAGGCAGGATCCCAGCTGAGGTGAGGGGGGCCGCCGTGTAGAAAGCTGGAGCCAGAGGGAGCCCGCACAAGAGCCAGGAGAAAGGTAAGGGGCAGGGGAGGAGAGGGCCACCGGAGAGACAGACACTCAGTTCAGAGAGAAGTAGGAGCACTGCGCCATACAACCACCACGGGAGGCTACGTCTCCAGGCAGGAGGGCAGATGGCAGAGGTCAGAAGTCTGCTGCTCTTGCTACATTGCCATGAAGGGTCTCCCCAGGTTGGAGGCTTTTCAGGGATCTGGGCAGGCTGCTCCTGCCCATCTCCAGGGCACCCTGAGGGGCTCCCAGGCCATACTTGCACTCTTCACCCTGCCTGCTTCCGTCTGGGTGATGGTGGCCCTCCCGCCCCAGGACGATGCTGGACTTCTGACCCTCGCCCTTAGGACTGCCAGCAACCTCCCCTGGCCTCTTGGCCGCTCTTGTTAGTAAGTTCTGAGAAGCACCACTGGATTTCCAGAGGAAAAGGAAGAAGAGAAAGAATATGCCAGGCTAAAGAATTGGCACCCATAGCTCTCCAAGCCCCCATGGCCCCTTCTCAAATCCCATCCTCCTCCCTGCCCAGCTGCCCCAACGTGTGGCTGGAGGAGGTGAGAAGAAATGACAAACTGAGGCAGCAGAGAGAGATGGAAAAAATGAGGAGCAATGAGGAGACAGCAAACATTCACCCCCAACCCTGGTATTTGATGACTATTCCTGATGAAGGAGTTCGCATGTCCTGGGGTCTGGGGTGAGATGAGCCCAGCAGTCCTGCCTGTCCCCATCCCCAATGGGGTGAGCTGTCACTGAACAATACCTCTTGGGGACTGAGGCTCCTGCGAAGCAGTGCCATTTTTAGGAGCATCTCACCACTGAGCCCAGAGCTGTATCAGGCACTAACCCACCTGGCAGAGCCCTGGCCCTTGGCAGGGTTTCCTGGCTCAGCCCGAGGAGAATTGCTGGTGCGAGGCTGCAAAGGCATTGGAGACAAGCCTGGCCTCTCACTCCTAGTGAGGATGGTGCTGGGCATAGCAAGGAAAGCTTGAAAGCAGCCTTTCCACGGAAAGAAGGCCTGGGGCCCGCTCCAGCCCAGTGCCTGACACCTGGGTAGCAGCAAGATGCCACAATCTGGAGATGTTGCCTTGAATAAACACCAGCTGTCTGGTTCCCTGAGCCTCCAACCACGAGGCTGACACAGCAGGACCTTTCTCTTGCCTGTCCCCCCCCATCAGCCCTGGTGGACCCAGAGTTAGAAGGAGATCAGTGCTGTTAGCACAGCCACAAGAGACAGAAGCTGGTGAAGAGGTGCTTCTGGGCGCTGAAAACTGATATCCCAGGGCAAACGGGGCCCAACGTTGCACTGGACAGGCCAACAGCCCAGCCCTGGGTGAGCAAGGAAGGTGCTCTGCACTGACAGTTGTGCTGCAGTTAGGTGACAAAGCCAGGCATCGGGGCACCGGGCATGTCCCAGCCCACCAGCTAGGTGGCATCTCGCTGTCTTCCAGGCCCTTTCTAGTAGTGTCCCAACCTCACGGATCGGCCTCAGCTGTATGGGGCTGGGACAAGTCCCATGACAGCAAAGGGGCTGGGGAGCCCTCTCCAGCCAGGCTTCTTCAGGGGACAAGTGTTGGGGAACACAGGCAAAACCAGGAGACCACATGTTATACCAGAGCTTGCATCCAACAGGGTTTGCCCCAGGAGAGAGGGAAGAAGGAACAGGATGAGCCTCTGCCTGGCCAGGAAAGCCATCTCCAGCCTCGACTGACCTGGGTCACAGCCATGATCAGCCTCAGCACCTGCTAAACCAGGTTTTGGGCAAAGAAAGTCAGATGGAGACACCACCATGGACTGATCTACATAGGGCAGCACCAAAGGGGTCTGGGACAGCCAGAGCAGTGGGCACAGCAGGGAAGGGATGATATGGCCCACGCTGGGCTGCCCAAGCAGATCTTCACCAGCTGAGAAGGAAGGAGGTGACAGGGTTACAGAAGTGCGGATTAGGCCAGAGTGAGTGGAGCCAGTGGGCTCTGTCTCCCCAGCGCACTTCACTGGCAAAGGCAGGGGAAGGGGAAGGGAGGGAGAAAGAGGCACCCACCCATCCAACCAACTTACAGACTGGAGCATGCAGTAGAGGCATGGAGGGCAGGCGGGCAGGGGTGATGGTGGAAAAGAAAAAGAAAATATGAGAGAAAAGAAAGAAAAAACAAACCAAAAAAAAACCCCACAACACACAGATTACATATCAGAGCCAGGGTGGGGACCAGCACACTGCCCACCACTGCCCGCAGCCTGGACCCCAGCGCTCCTCGCAGCTTGCCTCTCCCTCGCACACTGCCAGGATGCAGCTGAAACACAAGCTCAGACCACCGTTACCTTGGCCTGTGGCTGGGGTCCCAGGGTCCATCACCCCACTCCCTACAAGTGCCTTTGCGCAGGGACAAAATGTCTCTTCTGATGGCATCCGAAGGTTATTCGGGCCTGGTCACCCCCCCAGGCTCAGAACGATCCTGGTTGTCCAAATCCTCCTGTTTCTGGACCTGCCAGCCCAGAGGCTGAAGGTGCTGCCCACCTAGCAGCTCAAACCCTCGCTGCAGTGCCCTGGCACTCACCACCCAGTGCTATGCTGCTGAAAGGCCCCTGCCCTCTAGATTCCCTTGGTCCCCAGGCTGTGCCCAGAGGGTTGGAGCAGCTCCCCAGAGCCTTGTGGTGACCCTGTCCCAGTCCTGAGTGAGGGTGCTCCAGGCATTGCCCCTGCTTGCGCTCACCTTCCTTCACAGGGATGGTGGGCTTCTTCTGCCGCAGCCCCAGAAGGATGAAGAAGAGCACCAGAGGGATGAAGATCTCAAAGGCTAGCACCCACTGTGGATGACAAAGCAGAGGGGAACATGACACTTGGGTAGAGAATCTGGCTACCAAGGAGCGTGGGCAGCACCATGGGGGTCTCTGGAGCACCCCTCTGCCCTCTCCCAGGAGACGCTGTAGCTGCAGGAGTGGCTTGGTGCAGGGTGGGGCCAGTGCCTGTGTCTTGCCGAGTGACTGAGGGCACTGTCGTGGCTCCATCCCACTGGGACCCAGAGATGAACAGGACCCAGGTTGTGTGGGCTAGCTGCAGCTGGGTTATGTCGTACTGGAAAGCTGAAGAGCACCTGGAGATAGAGGGCACTGGGCTGGGCAGAGCCTCGCAATCTTCTGCAGCAGTCCTGGGGCTGGACTGAGCCCTCAGAGCCAATCCTGGCTTGAGGTGCCCTGATCCTGGGAGAGCCAACACACGTGCATGCACCCTGAGTCCAGGCTGATGCTCCTGCTCTTAGGAGACAGCCCAGGGGTACCTGAGCCACATGTGCAGCCATGCACATGGTGAAGCCACGCTCACAGGACACAAAAGGCCCCTTCACCCACCAGTGCTCTCCATCACAAGGACAGAGTGCAGCCTGGAGGGTCAAACCTAGGACCCGCTATCCAAACGCTTGGGTTTTTTCCACTTCACCTCCCATCACACCCTACATGCCTCAGTTTCCTCCATCCTGCAAGGAGAGGACTTCCAAGGAGGCCAAGAGCGCCTCTCGCCCACCTCATGCACCCCTTCCATGCCGACCCAGAAGGCAACCAGCTGCATAGGATTTCCAACAGTGGCATATGGTAAGCCACAATAAATCCTCAGGAATCCCTGACCCCAATAGCACATGCAGCCCAGGCTGGGCTTGACTCACTGAGACCCAGGGTATGGGTACAAACTCCTCCAATCACTTCTAGTAACCAGTGGCCAGCACGCTCAGCTTGCTATCAGTGCAACCTCGTCCTGGGATGCCTGATGCTCAGTGGAGGCAAGGAGAAGGCTGGCACAGCAAGCTGCCCCCCAGCAAGCTCCCAGCCCTGGCCATGGGCTTGACAGGTAATTGGGGTCCCTACAGCGAGGGATAAGAAACATTGTTGCTGGGGAAACTTGAGGCACAGGGGGCAAGGTGAGCCTACCTCAACTCACTCCAGGGTCAGTCCAGAATCCAGGTGTCCTGGGAGGGGGCCACAGGGACTCAGGTGTGTTGGCAGAGGGGGCCGTGCATGAGGCATCACCCCAGGACTGCCTTTGTCTAGGTCCCACAAGCAACCTCCCTGCACAAGGGGAACTGCTGCCACATCAGGCGTCACAGGCCGCAGCCCTGCTCATGGAGAAAGTGCTCACTAAGGTACTTGCAAGCCACCCTTGTCCCACTTTGCTCCCGCTCCAGCCCAATCACCTGGGTTGACCTGGGCAAGCTGCCTCCCCTGGAACAGCACACCATGAGGAGCAGGCCTAGGATCTCGGGGTCTTGTGGGCGTAAGCCGATGGCCACAGCAGGCATCAGGGGACCCGATTCCCCCATCGGGTACCAACAAGCTCCCTTTGTGGGAGAGGCCTGCTTCATACCAGGCAGCCAGGGCTGGGGTCTGATGGGATGGAGACCTAGCAAACATCTGCCATGCTCAGCCGGGAAGCCCTGGGAAAGGCCCCTGCTGCCCATCTGTCCATCCATGCCAGGAGACATGCCAGCTGGGCTCTCAGGGTATAAGTGGCCATGATCCCTGGGTCAGGCTTATCCCTGGCCACTCTCCCAGGAGGTAGGCTCCACTAAGGCCGCACTATCATCTGGCTCACTTGCGCATTGCCGGGTGGGCTTCAGCTCATGCTAGCAAGCACCGTGCCAGGTAACACCAGGGCACAGCTCAGGAAAAAGGCTCATCTCACCAGAGAAGACAACAGTGGCTCAGCCTGGAAATGTCACAGTGCCCGCAGGATTTGTCCGGAGGCCAGGCCAGGCAGAGGCAGAGCTGTCCCCACAACCTGGCCAGAGCCACATGCCCCCAGGCAGGTTGGACACCCTGAGCCGCATCTCCGGGCGAGTGGACACAGCTGAGCACCAGGTCCATCTCTCCGAGCTTTACAGGGAAATGCTGTTCCCTGGTCAGCTCTCCCAGCCTGGGCCACGGTGGGGTTAGGATAGCAAGAAGTAACTTTCCACGCATGGAAGGAGAGCAAAACCAGTCCATCCCAAAGGATCCTGTTCAGCAGAAGTGCCCTCACAGTGAGTCTTAGTGCTTTAAAGAGCTACAGAGGATGAAAACGGTAAATCACAAACTGGTAACTCTGTATAAATCTAGATTTTAAAATGAAGAGAGGATTTTAAAATGAAAGTGACTGCTTGGAACGACACAGCCAGCAGCAGGTGACGGGAGGCCGGGCCTTTCTGTCTGTAACAGCCTCTCTTCTCCTCCGGACTCGTACAAGGGCTGAGAGCGCTCTGCCAAAAAGTTCATTCAGCCGAACAAATGCGCAGTGAGCAGGGGAACTCCCCGCACGAGGATCCCGCGCTGGCGCATGGCCGAGGCACTCTGGCAGCACCTCCAGGCCCTGCTACCACCCCATGTCAGTGCAGAAGGTGAGTAGGCTCCTGTGCTTGCATGGCCCCGCTTCCAGGCTGCGTGCTGCACGCACAGGACATGGCTGCACGCATGGACCCAGCTCCAGGAGCAGGACAGAGCTGGGGAAGGGGCCAGCACTGCTTGGCGGGGGCAGGCTGGGACATTTCTCCTTGCCAAACACATCCCTCAGCCACCCCCACATGGAGTAACTCCTTTCTACCCTTAACTCTGCCCTCTCCAGCACCAAAGGAGCTACAAAGAGCACAAGAGCCTTGGAGAATAAATGCTTCCCTGGCAGCTGTGTCCCAACGCCATGCCAACCTCCAGCCTGCACGCGAGGACCAGCGGAGGGCTACAAAGATGATTAGGGGACTGGAGCACCTCTCCTATGAAGAAAGACTGCAAGAGCTGGGCCTGTTCAGCCTGGAGAAGAGAGGACTGAGAGGCGATCTCATCAACGTGCACAAGTATCTGAAGGGGGAGTGTCAAGAGGATGAGGCCAGCCTCTTCTCCGTGGTGCCCAGCGACAGGACAAGAGGCAACGGGCAGAAACTGAACCACAGGAAGTTCCGTCTGAACCTGAGAAAAACCTTCTTGACTGTGAGGGTGACAGAGCATTGGAACAGGTTGCCCAGAGAGGTAGTGGAGTCTCCTTCGCTGGAGATATTCAAAACACGTCTGGATGTGATCCTGGGCAATATGCTCTAGAGGACCCTGCTTGAGCAGGGAGGTTGGAGTAGATGATCTCCAGAGGTCCCATCCAACCTAAACGATTCTGTGATTCTGTGATTACCTGGGCTGCTGACTGCATGCTGGGCTGAGATGCAAACACCCAGGGCAGGGAGAGAAACTGCGGAGCACAGCGAGCTCCAAGGATTGCGGCGGCCACCCCAGCGTTTGGTGCTGCAACACCCACCCCACGCCCACGCGCTGCGCTGCCTCCAGCCACCGACTTAGTCATCCGCTCAGCCCCAGCGCAGCAAGGAGCCCGCAGGGGGGAGGTTTCCAGGGAACTGCGGCCAGCAGGAGTGGGGCGGCGAGGACAAAGGCAGCTAGGGAGCAGGCCTAGTCACTTGCTGGCAAGGGTTTTGTTTTGGGGAAGGAGACACTGGCAGGGAGGAGGCTGCCCCGAAGCCAGAGGATGCCCAAGA